TCTTTCTTTCTTTCTTTCTTTCTTTCTTTCTTTCTTTCTTTCTTTCTTTCTTTCTTATTGTATATGGGTGCCCATCTCAAATTCATGGCTCTGGGCAGCTAACGACAATTAAAGCAGCATAAAAAACATAAAAGCAACAAAAACAACTGGGCCAGTCCCTCTCTCTCAGCCCTAAGAAGGAGGCAATGGCAAACCACTTCCAAAAAGCCTTGCCAAGAAAACTGCCGGGACTTGTCCAGGCAGTTGCCAGGAGTCAACACTGACTCAAAGGCTTTTTTGAGAGCCAGTTTTGTGTAGCGGCTAAGGCACCAGGATAGAAATCGGGAGACCATAAGTTCTAGTACCACATGAGACGCAAAGCCAGCTGGGTGACCTTGGGCCAGTCATGTCTCTGAGCCCTAAGAAGCAGGCAATGGCAAACCAGTTCTGAAATCTTGCCAAGAAAACTGCAGGGATTTGACCAGGCAGTTGCCAGGAGTCAACAGTAACCAAACAAGGCACCAAAAAAGAAAAAATGAAAATGAAAATAACAGTCTTGTGGGTAGGCAGAACTAACCAGTTAGTCTTAACCAAGTTGTTCTGGGTAGCAATAAAGGAAAGCATGCCTGATCTTTTGTAGTGATGAATTTTTGTGTTTTTCTGCTGCTCTGAGAATAAGAAATGGAGAATAAATGTATGTTAATTATGTCATTATTTATTGAAATGCATAAATCACCCTTCTTCATTATGGATAACAGGGCAGTATCTTATAAGAATAACATGTAGTAAGTATGCTGCTTTCTGGATCATCATTATAAATACAAAATAATTTAAAAAGAAAAAGACAATCACAGAGCAGTTGTGAGGTTTTAAGGCCAATTGACATAGATTTGACATAGGGTGGTAAACAGCACAGGCAGGTGGGGTAATAAGTCCTGCAAATCAGTTCTCTCTGCCCCAGTGGGGTGAGAATCAGGCTGTTTTTGCAAGTGGAAGAGGCAAGTCACCAGGTGGAAGAGAGACATCCTGTCTCTCCTCTTATGCCATGTCTGAGTCAGTCTTCCACTTTCAGACCCAATCACAGAGGGAAGAGGGGGAGCTGTTCCTGAATGAGGGAGAGAATCAGCCACCAAACCCCAAGTCCACTGGAATTATTCCATAAAGATGGCTCCCACTAAGATCCTAGCCCTGAAACCCCCACAGCCATTCACCCCAAAGGCCCTCTGTTGGACCCACTGGTGGCAGCGGTCTCCATGTGCCTAGTAATCCCCCTGAGATAGAGAGAGCATCCTCAAACATCCACAAAAAAGTGGCTATCCTACAGCGCAGAGCACATTAGGTTAGAGGCCTAGCCATAAGAGCCTCCCTGGTTATCCCAGGCTTTGCCAGAGAAAAAGTACTTGCTTACATATTAGAATGCATCCAGCAGATCCACAGTATGCCATTGGAGTGGTTTTCTTAGATCCAAGTGATGGATCCTCGACTTCAGATGTTTGAACAAATTATGTTGATCTTCAGGATGCCAGCAGCAACTCTCTCCAGTTGCAGGCTGCAACAATTCATCTCATGCTTTCCATCCTAGGGAGCAGACGCAACAAATATCTTCAGTGATCTGGATACCAGCTAGTCACAGGCATATACAAGGAAGCTAAGCTCCTCTACCTAATTAGCCTAGAATACAATAGTAACACCATTGAGTAAAACCCAGCATCCAAAAGAGCTTCTATCATTGTATTTACAAACTAACATGACTAGCTTTGCTCAAAAGAGCTAAAAAGAAGAGATGCTCCCCAATGTCAATTTCTGCTTCTCAAGTCCTGGCTTTTCTACAGATGGATTTTGACAGAGGACTACAGCCAAGCATCCTCTGCATACAGTTTTTGGCCCATTCCTCAGTCCTAGTAGTGTGGAATAAGTCTTAGTTCTTCACATCAAGAGATACGTACGAGGGGCCTCTCTACTAAGTCCACTAAACATCTACCAGCATTCATCATGGGATCTCCAGCTAATACTTCATCCTCATGTGGCTCCATTCAGTCACATGCACATACTCTTAGAATACCTGAGAGAGAAGGTAACATTTTTGATAGCCAAGGTAGTGTCATAAATAGGCATGTTCTCTGCCCAAAAGGAGTTCTGCCTCATCCAGCCAGACATCATCACTCTGCAGCTACTCTCAGCCTTCATTGCTAAGGTGAATTCAGTCTTTCATCAGAGCCAGGAACTGATTCTCCCTCCATTTTCCCCAGCCCCAGATCTAAGTTAGAGAAGGATTGACATAATCCTAGTTTCTTTTGGCAGCTGACTCTGATCTCCAGGTAGATCAAGGGTTGTATCAAACTAGCCTTTGAAACTTGAAACAAACCTAACTACAGGGGATTGAGGGTCACTCCACTAGAAGTGCAGCCACCTCAGTTTTCCAGAACACTAATGCCTTCCTGTAGGGCTGCCATGTGGTCCTCCATGTCCACCTTACACCTCAGTTGGAGCATCTTTTGGCAGGAGAAGAGTTCTCAACAAAGTCTAGATAAGGATCCGCCCTCAGGGACAGTTCTGAATATGTCCCACTTCAAAAGGCCCTGGCTCTGTTATAGAAAAACGGTAGATTGAAATTTACCTGAAAGCTCTTTTTCTACAGTGGAGATAGGACATCCAGCCCAGCAAGATAGTATCAGAAAAAAGCAGATAATAATTGGGGGGCCCGTTAGTATTTGCAACCTATAAACATATCTCTGCTGTCCTCCCACCTTGTCAAATGTTATATCTTTGAGTGTTCTTTCTGGCTTGTCATTCTCAAAAATGGGAAAGAGTACTTTTCCCTCTCATAGAAGTCATCATTAGAATCTTTTCTGTCCTGGCCTCCAGGATGACCTCTTCAGAATCTTCTACCTCTGCTGTACAAAAAGGATTTTTGGTATAAGTCCAAAATACCATTCTCTAGTCTTTGTGTGGCAGAAAAAATAATAGCAAATTTTGAAGCATAATTTCTAATCCATGCTAAATTAAACTCACATTTAAAAGCACTATTTAGTTCCAGTAGTGATTGCAAGGCAGTGGAGCAAGGAGCTGAACAGTGAGGCATCACTAATCAGAACAATAGTAGATCAAGGGTGTGTGTGTGTGTATGTGTGTGTGGTGTGTTTCCAATTGCCATCTCAGATAAAGCGCACAGTATGACTTAACTCTCCTAAACTGAACATCTTACTTATTTTGTGTTGCTCTGAAAGAGAGTGCAGCATTGTTGTAAATCACTGTGTGTGTGATAGGCCTTTAATTGTTGCTTGAGTCATAGCCTTATTTCTTGTTGGCTTGCTTATACAAATTTACTTTTAGAAATGGATATTATATACGGTGCAAGATCTGGGCAAGCCTGGCTGGTCTTAGCAATTTTTTACTTCCTGGGCAAATAACATTCTTTGTCACCTCCCACGCAGCTGGGAAATAGTGCCTAGTTATTTAGGAAAATGCATAACTGATTTACACATGGGATCTACACGGTGTCAGCACAATACAGATGTGGCTCAGATTTCTAGTGATAGAAAGAATAAAAAGAATATGAAGGACTGGGCCAGAATCCATTATTAAGAACTTTGTATACTTGCACACTAGACAAATAATCTCTGTAAGAAAATAGCCCTGTATTACTTCAAGATCTTTGCCATATTCAATTAACCTGAATTAGTTATGCATTTTGCAGGCTGAAAATCTCTTTTAGAAAGGCAAGCTTTATAAGCTCTCAGATTCTTTCCAGTTTGGATAAAAGTTCTGGAGACAAACCACTTTCCCAACTCCCCAAACTCTCTCACTGGTCCACGGCTGCATGCTCTGAGCGTTCCCTTTCTGGACTTCAAAGAGAAAAAAGTTACCTACCATTCAGACCACTTTTGTGGTGCTATGCACCATGCCAGGGCAGCAGAAAACAAGGGGTAATACTCCCCTATTTTTGCACTCTACCATTGGTCCTGCCAGCAGTAGCTGGTAAGTCTCCAAGAAAAGATGAGAGAATACTTTGAAGAAGGAAAATCAGCTAA